TCTTGCCGTAGATCGCGGATACGCTGATCTCGGCCACGAAGTTGCTCCTAGAGGAGAGAAGGGAAAAGAAGCAAGACAAAAAAAAAGTGTGAGCTTCATCCATGCGTTTGTGTGTGTGTCTGTAAACGCATGTTGTGGGTCTTTTTGTGGGCGGTTAGAGAATAACGTCAGTGCACAACAAGTTGTGTAGGCGGCTGACAGCACAGCCACCGGTCATGCAGTCATCGCATGTAGTTGATGGTGCTACTGCAAGACAGTGTCGGAAATTGCTCACCTTGAGGCTCATGGTTGCGTCCGCATAACCTTCAGACGGCCCCTGCCCTTGCTGCCCATGCTGGCCATGTTGTTGCTGGCCTTGCTGTTGTTGGGCCTGCATCTCCTTCATGGCTCGCTTCAGCACCGTGTGCTTCTGCTTCAGCTGTTGGTGGGTGGTGATGAGAGCAAGAGGAAGAACAGGTTAGAGCAGAAGGGTGGCGTGAATGCACCAGACCTTGTCCGAACAACGGCAGGCAGAGACCGGCACACACAGACACACACACACACACACAAGCACACACACACACACAGACAGACACACACACACACACACACACACACACAGACGCACAGACACAGACACAGACACACACGCAGACAACACCATCACAGCCACAGACACTGCTCAGCACTCACCTCGGCGTACTTGGCCAGCAAGCCATCGTACTTGTTCGCCTGATCCGCCATGTCCAAGTCAAAGTTGCCTTTGGATGATCGCAGAGCAAGTCAAATTTGCCCTTGCGCCCTTGATGTTGCTCTTTTTGCCACGTGCTCCCCACAAAGTTTTTCTCTCCTCAAGCTTGTTCTTCTCTGCGTGTATTTTCCCTTTGCTGCTTCTTTTTCTCTGCGCACGTGTCGCACTTCATCCACTAAGCCGCACACCACACGACACACACTCTCCCTCTCCCCCCACCCCTCTCTCCCTCTACCTCTACACACACACACACACACACACACACACACACACACACACACACGCCATGGGACGCAAGCGCTATGACGATCCCAGCCAGGTTCGTGGCCCCGGGAGGAAGTCTCGTAAGCAAAAGGACCCAGCCCCTCTTCCAGGCACAGAAGGTATCGCGTGCGCTCTTCGAGCTCCTGCCATTGTGCACCTGCGCATCTCGTTCTCCTTGTCTTTCACACACGAAGCGCCCTCTCACTCACTCGCTCACTCACTCACTCGCTTACTCACTCACTCGCTCTGTCTGATCAACCAACTTCACCTGTTTGCTCCCCTCTGTGTGTCTGTGTGTCTCTCACTCCTTCTTTCTCCCCACGCTCACCTCGTGCATCGATTCAACTTTCGTGACGTCAAAACAGAGAAGAAGCCAAGGAATCCAAGGCGTCTCCGCAAGCAGTGAGTGATGCTCGAAGTGCACACATGCTTGACTTCCTTGTCTTGTCATTGCACCTCACGTTATCTCGATTGCACCGCGTCAAGCCCACGTCTCCGGTGCGATCGCTTCCATCTCTCACCCGTGTTCTCCCTGCTCTGCCCAATCCTCGTTGTTCTTGTTCAGGCTGAAGAAGAAGGCAATGGTTGAAGCCATGAAGGAAGAAGCACGCCAGGCGCAACTCGAGGCAAAGGCGCAGAAGCAGAAGCAGAAGAAGCAGCAGCAGGAGGTGGCGGACGAGTTTGACGCAGACATGGATACCGCCGCCCACGAGGCAGACTTCTTCGGTAAGGTTTCCAACACACTTCGCGTAGTTGTCAATGCGTGTGTGCGAGTTGTTAACACGTTTGTGTTCAGCTCAGCTCTGCTCATCGTTGGTCGCACCGGCACTTGGTGCACCTGCACTTGATGTTTGCTGCCCGTCCACTTCACAGCTCTTGCAGACACACACACACACACAGGCACACACACACGCACACACACACACACACACCCAAATGACAACGCGCGCTCACTCACTTCTCCAATGCTCTTGCGCCACCGCTCGCTGCAGGCGACTCTGACGCCGAGGAAGTGCCGGCCATGCCCAAGTCAAAGCATTTTAGTGACGAGAACAGGTCATGGCTCAAGCCCAAGGACGCCCCGTCCGACATTGAGGAGGAAAGCGACGATGCGGCCGGCGAACAAGAAGAGAGCGATGAGGAGGCAGACGATGATGACATGGAGAACGGTGCCGGCGATGCAGGCGACTTCTTTGCCAACAGCGACGACGAGAACGACTTTGGCGACATGCTTGAGGACGACGACGAAGAGGGCGAGGACGAGGATGAGGATGAGGATGATGATATGGGCGGCAGCGATGTGGAGGTCATGGGCCTTGATGACTTTGAACGCCAGGCCGAGGAAATTGACGCACAAGAGGCTGAAGACGAGTACGTCGCCTTGACTGCACCGCTTTTGCTTTTCTGATTGTGTAACTGCTCTGCTGCCAAGGCCGGGGGAGGGGGCCTGGTGAACAAACTGTGCGCTTGCTTGCCGTGCAATCATCTCATCTTTTTACCCTTGAATCTTACGATTGTCCATGCTTGTGTCACGTGCGTGTGCGAAACAGGCGATTGGCCGAGGAGGAGATGATGACCAACGTTGACAAATCGTGAGTTATCGCGTGACAACACGAACACTGGCCTGCACACATACACAATATAGAGGCTGCGGGGCGCACGCTTCCCTGACGCCTGTTTGCCCCACCACCTCACACAATCCCCCTCTGTTGTTGAGTCTTCTTACAAACTGTCCTTTCATGTCTATGTCTGCGTGTGCACATGTGCATCACATCTGTGCAGGGATAAGTTTGCGTTGCCGAGCCTTGACGAGATTGAGTCGATGAACAACATCACAGAGGATCTCATGGTCATCCAGATGCGCATCAAGGAGAATATGAACACCCTCCAAGACTTTAAGGTGCCATCACAACGTGCAAGTGAACACCATTGTGTTATGTGTTGTGGAACGAACTCAGTTGCAATTTGTATGGCTTCCCCAACCTATTTGACTGAACCCACCACCAACGTCCTCGGTCCTTCATCCTCACATTCCCCCTCTCCATTGCTTACTCTGCTTTTGCGTGCAGACGATGCGTGACCCGGCGCGGTCGCGTTCAGAGTACACGACGCTGCTGAAGAAGGACCTGTGCACCTACTACGGCTACAACGAGTGCATGATGCAGCGCCTGATGGATCTCTTCCCGCTCAACGAGCTTGTTGACGCGTTGGAGGCTAACGAAGTGCGCCGCCCCGTGACGATCCGCACCAACACGCTGCGCACCCGGCAGCGCGACCTCATGCAGGCACTCTCCAACCGTGGCGTCTCGCTCGACTCTGTCGGCAACTGGTCCAAGGTCGGCCTCGTCGTCTTCGAGTCAAACGTGCCCATCGGCGCCACCCCAGAGGTTGGTCACATGCAGCTTTAGGGCGTTGCAGCAACTCGCGTCGTTCCGTTCATCTGCGTGTGTTTGTTGTTGTTTGGTGTTTCCCTTGTTGTTTGATGTTTTCGCTCGGGTTGGCCATTTTGTGCGTGTATATGGCACGTCTGCAGGCCGTCGACCGCTGCCACACACAGACACACACGCATACACACAGACACACACGCACACACACGGACACACGCACACACACGGACACACGGACACACGCACACGCACACACACGGACACACGCACACACACAGACACGCGCACACACACACAGCTCCTCACGCTTACCTCCTTTCCTCCTCTTACCCGTTTTCTCGCCCTGCAGTATCTGTGTGGCCACTACATTATCCAGAGCGCGTCGTCGTTCCTGCCTGTGATGGCGCTGGCACCGCAGCCCAACGAGCGCGTGCTGGACATGGCGGCAGCCCCCGGTGGCAAGACGACGTACATTGCCGCCCTCATGAAGAACACGGGCGTCCTCTTTGCAAACGATGCAAACAAGGTGCGACACATGGTCGTGGTTACTGTGGTGCAAACTTGATTGTGCTGCGGTTTCTGATTGTGCGTCGATCGTGATGTGGCAGGTACACGATAATTGTTGCTATGGCTGTGGTTCTTGCTCTCCGTGCACCACCCTCACGTGCACATGCCATTTCACTCATTTTCGTGGTTTTGTTTCTTCTTGTCTCTACGTTTCCCAGGCGCGCATCAAATCGCTGGCGGCGAACATCTCCCGTCTTGGCGTCACCAACACCGTGGTCTGCAACTACGACGGCCGCTCCTTCCCAACGGTGAGACACTGCATGTGTTTCGTCGCGCCAATGTATTGCACTGACTTCATCTGTTGTTTGTTTCTCTTGTTGTCATGTTCCCCACCCACTCACTTGTGACTGCTCGCGCGTGTCTCTTCCCCATGGGTGCTGCTGCTGCTGTTGCATGTGTGCAGGTGATTGGCGGGTTTGACCGCATCTTGCTTGATGCGCCGTGCAGTGGAAGTGGTGTCATCTCAAAGGACGCCTCCGCAAAGAACACAAAGGTCAGCCACCCTGACATTGATTTGGATTTGCTCTCTTGCGAACATAGGCATGTATGATGTAGTTTGCCTCAGGTGTCGATTTCACTGCCACATGTACCATCACACACTCACACACACACACACTCACACTCACACACACCCAAACACACACACACACACACCCTAACACACACACCCTTAACATAATATACACTCACCCTCACACTCATTCCCTCATTGTTGTCGTTTTCGCAAACAGGACGAGACGGACTTCCGGCGGTGCTCGACGCTGCAGAAGGAGCTCATTCTGGCTGCCATCGACTCTGTTGATGCAAACAGCAAGACGGGCGGTTACATTGTCTACAGTACCTGTTCCATCATGGTCAGTACACACATACAGCACGTTGTCCGGTGCATCGTTGTTGAACCTTTCGTTCGTTTGTCTTTGTGCTTGTTCTTGCGCCCCTTCTCCTTTGTCTCCTTTGTCTCTCCTCTCTGTCCCTTGCCCCCTCTCCTTCTCCCGCTTTCCCTCCGCCCTCTCCCTTGTGTCCTGCCCCTCTTGCCCTTTCATCCGGTTACGCAAGGTGCCGACACTTGGTGGATTCTCCACTGTGGTCGTCATCGCCTAATACTGGTAGACCAGCATGGGAGGATTTTCACACGCTCGCTGCTTTTCTCACAACGAGCGTGCTGTAAAGCCTTCCGACACTCTTCCTTTTCTTCCTCTTCAATCTTGGGTCTCGTTTGCCCGCCCCTTTCCTTCCACTATTTCCATCCAACTTGTTCTTCAACGTTGTTCCCGTTTTTGTTGAATCCAAACCACACAATTGCATACACGCACACACACAATTGCACACACACACACACACTTACCTCCACTCCTCTGAACCATCTACTGTCCCAACGGCAGGTTGATGAGAACGAGGAGGTGGTCAACTATGCCCTCCGCAAGCGCAACGTGAAGCTTGTGGACACAGGCCTTACCTTTGGCCGCCCTGGCTTCAAGAGCTACCGCGGAAAGCACTTTCCAGACGTAAGTGACATCGATTGGGATGTGCGTGTATGTGTGTGTGGTGTGCTGTGTGGTGTGCTGTTACGTGCACTCCGAAGCCCTCTGCCCACGCATGTCACTTCGCTTGACGTGCCTTGTGCGTTTCCGTATGTTGTGGGGTTTCTCATCGATATCTGCGCGTTTGGCCTTGTTGACGTGACGCAAACGACAGACGATGCAGTTGACGAGGAGGTTTTATCCTCACGTCCACAACATGGACGGCTTCTTTGTCGCCAAGCTGAAGAAGCTCTCAAACAAGGTGCAGCATCTCGTGCCAAATGACCATCCACTCACGCACGCATACGCACACATACGTGCACACACATAGTGTACTCTGTACTTGCTTGTTGTGTGCAGCCACTCACTCGTTACTCACGTTGTCTTGATGCGATGTGTTGCTGTTTTCAGATTCCCAGCAAGACGGATGACGACAAGGCGAAGCAGGAAGAGCAATCGAAGAAGCAAGGGAAGAAGCAAGGGAAGCAGGGAAAGAAGGAAGAGCAGGGAAAGAAGGGCAAGAAAGAGCAGCAGAAGGCGAGGAAGCAGGACACCGCGAATGGCATGGACACGGCTGAGGATGATGTGAAGAGCGCGCCAACCAAGAAGGGTGGCAAGAAGAACAAGCATGGTCAGAACCAGCAACAACAGAAGCAACACCAACAACAAAAGCAGCCCAAGAAACAGCAAAAGAACACACAGCAGCAGGAGGAGGCAAAGGCGACAGAAAAGAAGCAACAACAACAACAACAACAACAGCCCAAGAAGCAAAAGCAGCAGCCGAAGCAACAACAGCGACAAAAGAAGACTCAGGCTTCTGCAGCCAAACCGAGCGCCACCACTGCGCCCAAAACCAATGCAGTCAAGCAGGAGAAGGCAAAGACAACAGAAACAGCTGCTCCTGCCAGCGCAAAGGCCACGGCCAAGACAACATCCGCCAAGGCAAAGGCAAAGACTGCCAAGACGCAACAGAAGAGCAGCAAGTCTGAGGAAGCAACCGCGACCGGCAACAGCAGTGCAAGCAGCGCAGCACCAGCAGCGGCAGAGGCAAAGGCGAGCGTGGCGAAGGTTGCAGCCAAGACGAACAAGGGCAAGGCAACGGGAGCCAAGGCGACACTGATGAAGAAGATGCTTAAGACGTCGTCTGGCAAGGCGCGGCGTGATTTGGTGCTCAAGAAGCTGCGGGAGATGCGCAAGAAGGCCGCGCAGTAACGTCACATGTATTTGGTTGTAGGCGTAGTTGATGGTGGTGCTGATGAAGATGGACATGGAAATTGGGACGGAAACGGAATCGCAAAATACACCCACACACTCACACGCATGCTCTGGCTTGTTGTGTCTGGCATGGTTATCATTTCCTTGTTGCCAGTCTTGGAGCTGCGCGTGCGTGTTGATGTACGTATATTGATGTGCAAAGCACTGTGGCATAAACGAGACCCTTTCAGCCAACGAGCAAGCGAGCAAGGAATGAATACAAGAAAAAGCAATCAAACGAGAGAGCAAGGCAAGCGGGAGGGGCGAGCTGGTGTGGTGTCCGAGAGTGGTGCGGGAGTGCCAGCCTTATGTCACTTGACCTTCGCGACCTTCTTGTAGCACTTTTTACAATACACGCGTGTGCCCTTTGGCACGCACGGCTTTCCCTGGCAGCAGTGAGACAAGCGGGGGCGGTGTGGCAACGCAGTGTGAAGTCGTGTGAAGCGAATGTGGGAGGTGGTGCAAGCGAAAACAGGGGCACACACAGACACAGACACACAGACACACGCACGCACACAGACACAGACACAGACACAGACACGCAGACACACAGACACGCACACACACACACACACCTTGAGCGATGTTTTGCACATCTTGCAGGCGAAGCACTTTGGATGCCAGTGCTTGTCTTGGATGGAAATCTTCGAAAAGAGACGCACAAGTTCAAAGAAGGCACACAGGTGAGGATTGTGGCGAGGTGTGACAACAGACAAGCACAGATGTAACACCATAGACCAATGATGGCACAGCGTGCACAAGGCAAAAAGCAGCATCATTGCAATCCCAAACAACCACAGACACACACAGACACACACAGACACACAGACACACAGACACACACACACACACACACACACACACACACACACACACACACACACACACACACACCATCGCACATGCATTTGTTCGGTCACGCACCTTGCCGCCGCCACCACGCGAGGCGTCAATGGCGCGTCCACAGGCAACACATTTGTCGGCAATGTGCTGCGTGTAGCAGTCCATGCACAGTGGCCTGGCAGGAGCACAGGGCGCACGAGTGTGTTCGGGAGTGAGGGGGGTGAGGGGAACAGGAAATGAGCATGGGATCAGTGACTTGGTGCAGTGGAGGAGCGGCTGTTGTCCACAAAGGGCACAAACGACAAGCAGGCAAGCAAGCAAGCAAGATAAACAACCAACAGCACTTACTTTCCGTCTCGAGGGACATATGTTGATGCGTCAGTGAGGTTTGCATCGCAGATGTAACAGGCAAAGTGGCGAAAGTGCCACGTGGTGTTGAGCTCATACACTTGCTTTGGCTGATGGATCGTTTCATCGCACGCAGCGCACCTGGTTGTGGAAGGGTGTTGTTGGTGGCGTGTGTGTTTTGTGAGTGTGTTTGTGACAGTGCATGTGTTTGTGAGCGTGAGAGGACTTGGCGAGTCAACGGAGCAGAACACATGACCACAGACACACACACATGCACAGACACACACATGCATGCACGCGCGCACACAATACACGGACAGCATGCTGCCGACCTTGGCCTTCGGTTGTCTGCCCAGTGGCGGCCACAGAACAATCGCTCCTCTGCACCTGGTGTTCCACGCTCCTCCTGTGATGCCATGATGGTTTCGTGGCACGGTCATGAAGCATCATGGCCAGTGGCGGGAGGGGGTGGCCGCAAAGCAGTGTGCGATCGTGTGTGTGTGTGTGTGTGTGTGTGTGTGTGTGTGTGTGTGTGTGTGTGTGTGTGTGTGTGTGTGTGTGTGTGTGTGTGTGTGTGTGTGTGTGTGTTCGAGAAGGACAACCGCCAAAGAGAGCAGCGTCACACATGAGCGTATGCATTGAAGTGAGTCACGCACCCATCCAATGTCGACAAAGCATCTGAGATCCACGAGCAGCTCGCCGCACTGCGAACAGATGACGCACATCGGGTGGAAGTATGATCGCTCCTCAGGCTGCAACAAGAAGAAAAGAAGGGATGTGCGTGTGTGTTTGTGAGTGAGTGCACAAGTGCGGTGGAACCATGAACGCTTCTCTCTTCTTTCTTGCCAGCGAGCCGAAAGGAGTTCAAACTTACAGCCCCATCCCATCCCATCTTTATCCCAGCCCCTTTGCACATTAGCTCACCTCAAGCCGGCCAATCTGCACGACCACCTCGCCAATCACGAGGGGCAGGCTGCACCCGCGGCAGATGATGCCGGACTCCTGAGGGCGACTCTTCTTCTTCAGCTCTTCCTCGTGCGGGTCCGGCTGCTGCTGCTGTGGACGCCGGCGTCTGTCGCGATGGAAGGTGTGTGTGTGTGTGTGTGTGTGTGTGTGTGTGTGTGTGTGTGTGTGTGTGTGTGTGTGTGTGTGTGTGTGTGTGTGTGTGCGGAGGGAGAGACGGCGGTGGAGGTGCAGTTGGGGTGCGGTGGAGGTGCAGTTGGGGTGCGGTGGAGGTGCAGTTGGGGTGCGGTGGTGGTGCAGTTGGGTGTGGTGGTGGTGCAGTTGGGGTGTGGTGGTGGTGCAGTTGGGGTGTGGTGGAGGTGCAGGGGTGTGGGGTGTTGCGAAGACGAATCAGAAGTGAGCGGAGGACGACTGACATGTTGGAGAGAGAGCAACACGATGCATCACACCCTCTTCGATCATCACCACCACCATCCCATGCAACAGGTGTCATTGGCACCTCTTCATTGTCTTGATGTCTGGCATGTCATCTGGGTTGTTGAGTGCGGGCCGAGACCGGGACGACCGCGACGACACAGACCCCGAATCGCTCACCCGCTGCACACACACACACACACACACACACACATACACACGTTGTTGTTGTTGTTGTTGTTGTTGTTGTTGTTGTTGTTGTTGTTGTTGTTGTTGTTGTTGTTGTTGATGTTGTTGTTGTTGTGGTGGTGGTATTGGACGGGCAGGTGACAGTGGAGAGTGATGAGTGGGAACTCAGATGGAGAAAGTGAGGTGTGTTGGTGATGAGAAGTGTGGCTGCTGTGGATTGAGACAAATGAGCGCGTACGCACACGTGTGTATGTGTATGGAAAGTGCCAGCATGACGTGATACAATGTGCATACAGCAGCTCGCAGATCAACTCACGTGCGGGCGCATGCCCTCGTCTGATGGAGGAATGAATTTGGTGCAATACGGCCAGTGTGTCCCGTCCTGTTTCAGGAAACACTCGGAACAACTTTCCGGTCGACTGGAGAGGCGGGAGGGAGGGGGGGGGGTTCATCATTGGTCACCAACCACACGCGCATCAATGTGAGTACGTGTGTGTGTGTGTGTGTGTGTGTGGGCGGGG